CATATTGGGTTACAATTTAATTGATTGGATAGAATATATAATTTTAGGGAGGACGTCAGTCTTTATTTTGTCTTAAAACATTTAATTAATTATATATATCTATGTAAATAGCTTTCTGTCTGATTTTTCCGCAAACCTATAACAATCATAGCAATAATTATTCTAAAATTCAGAGACCTAAAAAATTAGTGAAAATTTTATTGATTTAACATCTACTTAGAGAGACACATACAGTTAAATGATTTGAAACGATCATTTAATGACTATAAGCCTATTTTGTACAACATCAAAAATGAATATAAGTCCCTATCAGAGACAGGTTAATAGAAATTTTTGCGAAGTGCTACTTTTTTGCCGTGGTATCTAAGGAACCCTGTAGTGACATGCCTCCCAAATTGACCTCATCAGAAGTGATATTGAAGATTTAGCCTCATGATGAGTGATAAAAGAGATTAAATATATGTTCAACACTTTCATGATAGGCTTTCTGAAATTTTGATTTAAACATCTTGAAAGATTTGAAGGTTTGGTATAATATGAAATGGGATTATATTACTATAGGATTTCAACAGTTTATAAATGTATAATAAAACCTGTGTCAAAGACCACATCTGAATAAAAACAACTTTTAGGAAACCTGCTACTAATTGCAAAATTTTCAACTCTTCTAGTCAGCTCTTCCTTTTATACCTCTAGTTAGCATTATAGCCAAGGAGACCAGACTGCTCCTCTAGTATTATCAGCCATAATGACATGCTGATGCCACCAATATAGAACCAGTCTAGTCTACACTTCCATGAGGTCTAAATATATGAGGTGTTTATTATTTTTTGTCTGATTTTAACCATTACATAATTATTAAAGATAATAATACTCAGTTTCAAGTTGATATAAGTAACTCTATATAATTTACAAACTCTGCAGTATACATGAACCAGAGTTAAGTTCCTATTTAACAAATATATGACAAGAATGTTCAAAAAGTTAATGGAACAAAAATTGGTAAAAAAAATTGACAAATAAATTTCAGTAATAATTTGTAAACATGTTACTTTGAAATACATTCTGTATTTTTTATGAAATCCATCAATAAATATGAAATTTGGAGTGTGAATTAAATTGAATCAATAAAAATACCAATGTTGACCTAGAGTCCAACGAACTTTCCAGACATAATCATCATCGAATTGAATTACTTGGAAACCTATTGATCAGCCATGTTATCATTTGCCAGAAGTTGCCTTTGTTGACATGTTTGACTGTATACTATGCCAATATTTTAAAGAACACCAGACAGATTTTCAATCTATACCACTAAAATATTAAAATAAAAGCATTTGATTGGCTAAAGTTAAAAAATGGGTCAAAGACAGAAAAGGCCGACCAAATATGAGGCTGTGATGTTATGAAAAAAAATACCACTGACCATTAATGTCGAAAATTTAACTAAGTCGGTTAACAGGAAGTGGATGAGCAACAGACCTGAAATCGAATCCCAAGGTATGGGACCGCATGTTAATGCTGTATACCAAATATCAAGAGGCTGAGATAAGGAGTTGCTGAGAAAACTGTTACGAAAATGTCCTACCATTGACCACTAATATCGAAAATTTAACTAAGTCGGTTAACAGGAAGTGGATGAGTGATAGACCTGAAACCGAATCCCACGATATGGGACCACGTGTCAATGCTGTACTGTATGTCAAGAGGCTGTGATAAGTAGTTGCTGAGAAAACTGTTCCCCGCCCGACATTCATCATACTATAACCCGGGTTTGCACCTGTGCAACCCGTCCAAAATATAATAGTTGTAGACTGACCACTTTTCTCGAGAATATTGCTTAAATTAAGTTAGGTGTCACGGCATTTAAAACCTTATGAAAATGGTAAAGATAAGCTTCCTTGATATATACATTAGATACATTTCTTTTAGTTGAAAACTGACTTCCGATTGTCTTTGTTCACGCGAAAATCGTGCTGTTTTGGAGCTTCACACTGGCTATTTACAGAACCATATAACATCACTTGAAAATGAAGTATTACATTGTAAGTTTATGTTTAAAGCATTATATACTGTAATATTCTGAAAGGAAGAATGCTTACATTCTGTCACGGTTTGATTAACCGGAGTCCAGACTACCGTTAAGTACGGCTATAATTTCATTTAGCATCTCCACTCCGTATTTAACTTTCTATCAATTTACAGATGAATGACAATGGGTCTTGATTGATTACGAACCGAGATTTTGTGGACTTTGTAAAATTCCAGCCGGATAACAAATGTTTAATTATGAAATTACTTGCTAAAAGCATTGTATCACTTGATATGCTTTAATTAAGGTGAAGGTAAATATTGACAAAATACGATACCCTCCTGGTGCGGGAAGGTACATTGTACTGCAAGGAAAAAAGTTGATTGATTTACGTGAAACAGATTTCCTTATTCAAACTGCTTAAGATTTTCTACAATTTAAGATCACTATAACTAACATTTGCGTCATAATATCAGCAATTGTACCTCACGCAACTCAATGAACAAAGGTGTGCATGTCATAGAACTAGGTGTTCAATTCATAAAACACAACAGTGTGTATTTAAAGCTTAGAGAGACAGCGTGTTCATGCTTAAGACAGACATAGTTCATATTAAAGAGAGACAGAGTTCATACTAAAGACAGAAAAGTTTATATTAAAGAGACACAGAGTTCATGCTAAAGACAGACAGAGTGCATACTAAAGAAAGGCAGAGTTCATACATCAGAAAATAGGGAAAGAGAGGCAGGGTTAATACTTCAGTAAATGAGGAAGTTTCACGATGTAAAAGTTGGCGCTTAATTGCTGACTACCACAACAATATTAAAATATTGTTTTTTGACCAGTAATAATCTCAATCTTTGAGAATCTCTAAGATATCGAGATATATTTGAATGACTCATATGTTATTTTGGCATGAACACTGGAAAATTGATAGAATCGTTTTTCCCATGAGCACATTTGTTATACATTTTCAAATGTTTCAAACAATGATTGTTTCATACAGATCTCTTTAATAAGGAAACAAATGAACAACGAAAAAATGATACAAAGTATATTTACCAAAATCTTGCAAATATAATTTAAAGTGTCAGATTTTATGTTCAATAGGTTCTTTTGAAATCGTTTTTTGAAAATAATAACCGGGTTTGATATTTGCAAAAGAGGTGCATTGTTATTTTCAACAAATTAAACGTAAGCAAAATCCGGACCAAATTTATTTATTTTTCAAAAATAAATAAAACATATTCAATATTCAGATATTCCCTGCGATGTAGTCTTTAGAGAACCTTGCAAGTAGATTTTATGTTTTTAGCATAAAAACAGATGATTTCCCAAAAGGGGGAGGGTCCGAAAGACTATGCGCGGTATATTTTGACGCTCTTCAAACAGAAGTGTACAAAAGGTCTATTAGACATTTCACTCTTCAAATAGAAGATATAAAAGTTTGATCAATAAGGTTCAGATATCCATTAATAACAAATTTATTAACAAAATGCCCCTTGAGAAGTAATGTATTGAAAACTGTGACACTCATTCTAGTAGGATATTCATTAAGACTGATTTTTGTGAAGTGTGATTGATAAAAATGGCCGAAAAGAAGTCTATAATTTCTTGATAATTAGCAAAATTGAAACATACTTAAGAGGAAAAAGGCCACGAACATCAGTTGTTCTCCCTTGTAGATATTTACCCCAATATTTTACGTCAAACTGCTGTTAATTTCCACCAAACATGGAGATTTAAGAAATGGTATAAGTTGTGCAATGTTCATACGCATGGGAGACGAAGAATAAACTCATTTTGCATGTACATGTGTATCATCTGAAGTTTCTTTCCATATTCCTTTTTTTACTAGTCCACGTATTTTGTTTCGAATGCAGACAGATAAATAAGTATTCTATCTTTTCTAATTCAGCATTAATGTTTAAAGTATTGTAATTTTTACAAATTTAACAGAACAGTTCATTTGATTTTTACATGGTTCTGTACGTCATCTCAATTTTTAATTGGCACAAGTAAATCACAAATAGAACTAAATACCAAACGAAATGCAATCAGCATAGTACAATGGTATAATAGAAAAAATGATATTTTTGCAAGCCATTATCGAGTTTTTAAAAAAATCAGTTCAGTTTATAGAAGTTGAAAAATTGCTTTTATGTGAAGGGACAACTGGATTGCATTTTAAAAAATAACATTAATTTAGCAAGATTAAAAGCGTTTTGAACTGCTTAAGTCGGCACTAGGGAGCATTATAATATATAGAGATGGTTCATATTGCTTTAAGAGTGGCTACTACTATAAGAATAGACTCAACCAAACCATGTCTGTTTTTTTCTAAATACATTGTGTATATATTTTTTGGAATTGCTGTTGGGGAAATTTTAGATTTTATTTCTTGTTGAATATGTTCTGTGTCTACACTATTAACTCCTTATTGTCAACAAATTATTGTTTTCCTTGCTAAGATATAATTCATCAAATGAAACAGGGTTTCATTTTCTTGCCAAGTAATGTGTAATCACAATTATTTTTGTACACTAATTTTTATTTTTTAGAATAAAGAAAGTATTCCTTAATTTTTACAGAAAATGCAAATAAATTTATTTCCTTGTATAACAACAAAGATCTTCAAAAGCTGGAGAAGCATTCTTGAATTATTTTTTATTTAATCTTAATTATTTTTACATTTATATCATTAAAATTTATAACATTATGATTCAGTGATAGTATCAACATTACCCACGTGTAGGGGAAAAAACTGGAAAATCGCTAACTGCACCGTAATTACTCACATAAATAATTTTAAACATATGTCATTCCCGTATAATTCAACTAAAAACCTTAAACAAATGCATTTGCATTCTTTTTTGGTCCTAAAATCCATAATAATTTTGGTATAAGTAGATACAAAATAGTTCTCGTTATAAGACATATATTTATTTATAAAGTTTTACTAACTTACTTGTCAATTTATCCATATAATTTGTTGTTCCTCTTCACGAATTATTTCACATTATTTGTTAAAATTTATCATTACACGATCAGCTTCAACCTTTTCACAATATCTTAAAATTTCACAAGCTTTTTTTGTTCGTTTTTTTCTTCTCTTTTCGCAATATTGTTTGTGAAAACAAGATCGAGTCTCATGCTATGTGAAAACGCTTTGTCACCAAATAGATAAAAAAATAAGCTCATCATTCGTTTCTAAAACGGATTGCGATTTTATATTCAAACTCGTTTATAAGATAAAATTTTACGATCACGTACCGCGAATTTTATTCAAATTCATTCAAATGTTTTTTTTTGTGTAAAATTACTAAAATTCGTATGCATCATAAAACCAAAGTAACGAATGAGTTAAATTGTAACTAGCTCGTGCTTTTTTTCAAAATAAAATAAAATTCAGCTTCGAATCATCGGAGCAAATCATTTCCACTAATTCCGCTTAAATCAAACGATTACTGTCGGTTGTACCAAAGGGAATCTGTAAACACAATATATTTACTCGTGAAATTTAACAATTTAGCCGCGTCACGACAAAACCAACATAATGGGTTTGCGACCAGCATGGATCCAGACCAGCCTGCGCATCCGCGCAGTCTGATCAGGATCCATGCTGTTCGCTTACAAACTCTATAACAAGTAGAAAAACTGATAGCGAACAGCATGGATCCTGATCAGACTGCGCGGATGCGCAGGCTGGTCTGGATCCATGCTGGTCGCAAACCCATTATGTTGGTTTTGTCGTGACGCGGCTCAATTTAAGATTGTCCCTGCTATACCTCGATTAAGACATCGAACAAATTTCGTTTTGCTGAATTATTCATCGCTGAAATGTACAGTGGGTAGTTCAGATTTATGGCGAAATAGAATTAAACTTACATTAAAAGAATGAGAAAAAACGTTTTTTACGGGCATAGTAGTAATTAAATAAGTGTCAATAAAATTCTTTCGTATTGGCAATCAATAAAAAATTCAAACGTTTTGTGTAAAGCTTTACATTTTAACCACATATAAATTAATTCGGTTTAATATATTTTTATCAATTTAAGTATATTTATTTGCACCCTCCCTACTTCCCTTAAACAAACAACATCAAAATAAGCAATGCAACAATAGATGAGCATTTTTTCTCATCTCAGCAAAAAGTTATAAAACATATTTATACCTCAGAAACAAATAACTTTTCACTTCTTAAGAAAAGGGCCAACATAAATTTTAACATGTTAAAATAATTGTTTAAGAGAACGTTAGGTGCTTTTTACTTAAAGAAAATAGCGATAAATGTGAAATAATTTGTTATGAAAGTATCAAAATGTAAACAAAGTAGTATTTTGACTTCTATACATAATACTCATTCACTACCTTTTTGACACTATAAAAGTACACTAATATTAAAAACCTTTTGAGACATGAAATTAAAAGCATGTCTGATGCATAATGGGCCTTTAACCTGCTTCCTCCAGTACAGTGACAGGCCAGCCTGCACGCCGGCCAGTCTTTATACTGTCGTTAGCTGAATATGTTATTAAAAATCCCTTCAAGTTTGAATGAACAGTTCCAAAACCGGGTCAGTCCATTACAAATTGCAGCAGGAAAAGACAAAACTGAAGATGCATTAATGATATATGGTGTCTTTTAAATGGCAAAACTAGCAACCAAAAATCAGGACCTAGGATAAAATGATATTGCTAACTGATTTTTTCATTGCCTGTTTAAATTGATTCTTAACAAGGAACAAATACATATTAGGAGCCCTAAATGTCGATTTTTTAATTAATAATAAATAACATTAAATGGCAAGCAGGCATCCATGAAATATCATTTTAATAATTTAAACACTTTTGCGACATTGAGTCTGTTGAATTCATGGGACCGATTTTCAACTTGTAGTTTTATGAGACTTACCTTAACTTATTAAAATGTTGATGTCTTTATCATTTATATTCATCTGCTTCTCGAACGCTCATATCAATATATTATGTAAATTAGTCTATAAAATGTTACAAAAAATAGTCAATGAAAAAAGTTATAAATATTACATTTGTATAAATGTACATCTTACCATGGGAATGAATTTAGTTTAATGAATTTGTTAATGGAGTTTGTAGAAAAAAATAATCATAAAATAAAATGTGGATATGATAGTACATGTATAATGGTATTAACATAGTGTCAAATTAATGTTATTGTATAATCCATGCAGATAAATTATCTCTTACTGGGGCGCGCAAGCCCCGAATGGTATTACGATGAACCAGCGTACTATCGAATGAACGCTTCTCAATCTACGCTGGACAAAATAGTTCCAAGAATTTGTCTTGATATTCGTACAAGTGTTATAAGGGTTAAAGAATGTAGCCACTGTACACCTTGAGTACTTTACAGAGACACAAAAAATGATAAATCCATTTTAAATATCTGTAAACCTTACAGAAAATAAAAACAAATGTAGCCACTTACTTAATATATGAACAAATCCACATGTTTATTATGCAAATTACTATAAATCCATGATAATTGTACATGTACCTCCTGATGTTCACCTTAATTCCTTCTATTAAAACTACACTTGCAAGAGACATTTAAAACAGCCGTAGTCTAAATAATCAAAGTTTTCCCCCATTATTAAAATAAAAATGTACATATACGAGAAAAAACATGTTACAGTAACCAATCATTTTTAAAAAAAATATATCATTTGTAAGGTGCGAAAATTGAACAAATGTTCCGCTGATAAGAGATAAATCTTTGATTTCGTACCGTTATAAAACTATTACAGTAATTTAGTAATTGAACCCCTAATTAAGTACAATTTAACATCAAATTACGCCATAAAAAGTTGTCTGTGATCTTTGAAAGATAACCGTTTAAAATTAATTTTTCTTTTTATATCAGACACAATACGTGAATGGAGATAAACAAAATTGAAATATATACTTGTGAATTTTAACAATTTAATAGAGCAGTGTATCGGGAAAGTGATTGATGTTATCAAAGTTGTGTAACATGTCGTACAAAGAAAATATATATGTCGTCACATGTTGAATGTTGTTATCATGATATACCTCCTACCAGAATACAATTATTTAAATTATAAAGAACAATAAATCTGCAGGTTTTTACCTACAGCAGTACGATTAATATATTTAGACTTTTTTTGCAGGCCCCACATATTTGTCAATCATTTTCAGTTGTAACCATACTTTACGTTTCTTATTTGTATCTATATTTGATTGATAAAAAACAGCACTTGGTGTCTGTTTTTCTGTCTGTCCACCTATAATGCATTTTAAGGGGTACTAAATTGATAATTACTTCATAGCACAGTTTCTAACATGACCTGTACTACGTCACATGAGTCTCTTCTGTTAATTTATTTCACACGGCGTTTTTTTTTGTTGTTTTTTTTTTTATAAAAGACTATGTTGTGCATTTTAATTAGGGCAACCGGCAGTCGCACCTTTTCGGCCCTTTCCGTCATGTTATAATTGGTGATATGTTCGAGCGAAGGGCACGCGCGGGCGTCTGAGCACATAAAGAAACTGAATAGCTTCTTTCCTATTTTTCATTTTTTAAATATGAATAATGAAGTATCAGAGGTAGATCATTAAGAATGCACAGCGGCCAGGAGCAAATGAACTTTACGACAGGCAAAATTGTTCTTTTTTGATAAGAATTTAACAAAACTGCAATATATTAAAAATTTTGAGATGTGTAAGCACTATACAAGAATTACTTTTCTGATTTAAAATAATACGGTGCACACACAATTTGAAATTAACTTATGTGCTAGGTTACTGATTACTTGAATATCAAAAAAATAATTAAAAACAACACACGAATATATTCCAGAAACCATCACTTACATTCCTGTAGCCTCAATATTGGATACATCACCTGAATAATCTGTAACACTTTGAAAAGAAAATAACATTTTGATAGCTTAATCGCCCATTTTCAAATTGCCCTTCTCTTTAATATCACATTTTTTATCAAAATAATGTATATATTTTCATTTCTTTATCAGAAAATGACACCTCGAAATCATACATACTTGTGCCTTTTTATAAAACACCTTCATTTTTTAAATTGCTATTAACTGTTATAAGGGGAAACATTTATTTTCCTACATTCCTAATTTGAATGATAACCGCTGGAGAAATTGTTCTATTTTCTTGACAGTTATTTGAAAGGTTTCTTTGATGATTCCCCCCGTCTTTTTTTACTATCTTGATAACTTCTTCCAACCTCATTACAATTTTTTTTTATTTACAATGCAGTGCATATCCCCGAAATCCGATCTCTTAAAATCTCCAAGATAAATCAAATTTATTCAACGCCGCTGAAATTAACTTTCAAAATTTGACAATGATTGGCGAGAGGCGCATATTCGAATTATCTTTTTATATAATAACTCTGTCAATATGCTTAACAATATTATCTGCTATGAGATAATGGGCAAAGTTTAGGTTGGATACTTGTTATCGCGTGTCAAATCAGAGAAAAGAATCGTAAAAATGTTTTATAACTTTGCACTGCATGTTCTTTTTTTCTTTCTTTAAAAAAATAATAAAAATAATAAGAAATACGATTATCATAATTATGTTTGCTGTGTCATCGGACTATTTCTGTCCGAATGTTTTCGTGGCTTAAGTTGCAATTAAAGAGGTGGTGGTTCATAAAAATACGGTCAATATCAGAAGAATTTTGATGTTTTCATTAAAAAAAAATATCCACCACCCAACATTGGACCCTAGTACCATGTTCACCACTGGGTTTTCCAACGTGTTATATATTTTTCGACCACTTAATCGAATTAAAAACTTAGATAGAAAAAATGTTCCATAACATATCCACTACAATATCAAGATTGAAATACTTATATGAATGTTAGCTTTGGGTGAACAGAAGATGAGATAATTTGATAAAATCCCGAATTGTGGGAATTAAACGAAAAGACCATTAGTTACACATAAATTATCACTTTATTGACTTAATAACTTCAATTTATATTAATCACTTAATAATATTACACAGATTTTATCTACAGCAACTTCTTTAAAAATATTTTTTTCTCTACAAAAGATGAAATACTATCTAAGTTTTAATCAGATATATTTCACCTTAAGTCACTAATACGTGGACTTAATGGGATATGAAATTATGAGCTTTAATTTTTGAGTAAACCCCGCTAAATGTGTTATTTTGCTCGTACTGTAGGTCCGTGACAAAAAATTAATGATTAAGAAACTCATGACGCATATAGAATGAGACGTATATCTTATTTTTTGACAGATGAAATGAAACGTTTATTTTATAATAAATGGACTCATATAATGCCGAGCTATTGCTTTACTGTTTCGAGCAAAGGAAAGTTAAAGTCTTTACATGAAATAAATACAAAAAAATATTTTCATTATTGTTATTTATTCACATACTCGTGCCGCTTATGCGACTCCGTAAA